AACAAGTCCTCTAGAAAAGAGACTGGAGCTGTCACGTGCCAACTGGCAAATAGGTGGCTACAAAAATTAATCTACGGGTAGAAATGACACAAAGTAAGCAAATCTTCTCTGAAAAAGGGAGGAAGCAAAAATTAATAAGTAGCGGCGCGCATCAGGGCACCCGGTATGATCACGCGTTTTGTGCAATCCCGTTCACCGAAAGATTGCCTACTAATGATTTTCATTGCTTTGCACTTTGGTCTGTGCAAAAATAGTTAAAATGTCTGGTTCGTAAGTTGCGGAAATTCCTACTGAAAATTTCACGCAAACGAGATAATAATTTCTTTATCAAAACTTTTACGAGGCTGTACATGGCACCCAGGGGTGCTTGAAAGCTAAATCCAAATTTACGAAGTCATTTGTTTGTAGAGGAGATCACACCAAAATTTCAGATCCTCAACTTTCGCGATCCCCGAGATAATAATTTTCCCCGCCGAAACTTTCACGGGGCCGTAAGTGATACTCGGATGCGCAGGAAGCTGAATTTAAAATTGCAGGCTTGTGTGTGGACAAAAAAAATATCATAAAATTTAACTTCCTGGCTTTAATGGTTCCCGAGACAATAATTTCCTCACCAAAATCTTCACGGGGCCTTTGGTGATACCCGAAAGCGCGGGAACGCTGAATTTGAACAGGCGAGGCCGAGCGTGGCAGGGGGTTATTACACTAAAATTTCAGCTTCGTATATCCAGTGGTTCCCGAGATAATAATTTACCCGCGAAAATTTTCACGGGGCCGTTCGTGTTATCCGTGGGTAACAGAAAGTTGAATTTAAATCCTCTGGGTCGCGTGTGGGCAGGGGATACACCCACAAAATTTCAGCTTCCTAGCTCCGTGGTCCCCGCGATAATAATTTTACCCGCCAAAACTTTTACGAGGCCGTACCTGTTACCAGTGGGTATGGAAAGCTGAATTTAAATTTGCGGGGTCACACCTGGGTGGGAAAGGTTCCCCTAAGTTTTCAGCTTTCTAGCTTTTGTGGTTCCCGAGTTGAAGTTGCGGACAAGTTGCTGCGAACACACACACACACAGAGA